GGGTTGTGAAGGGGGGCTTCTTTGAATGCTGAGCCTCCCCTCCCCGAGTGGTGAGAAGACAGCAGCTATGGGAGTCATGGGAGGAGGGTGTTCTACACTAAGGAAGGATGAGACCAAACGAGTCAGGGACATGAGGGCAGAGGAATCTGGACCCAGGCCTTCTGTGCAGGCCCACCCAGAAGAGACAAAGGGGGTCTTTCTGGGGGGCATGTGGCCAAGCAAGTCTCACCTCTAAGGCAGGGACCACCTGTGCCCTCACTGCATCCCACCCATCCTTGACTCCCAATCCCCCCACCTCCCACCCCAGAGAGCATTGGCAGTCAGTGTGTTCTGGTGACAGTGGCAGGGCTGAACTCTGCCCAGGGTTTGCCTTTCCCACATGGCTCTTGGCTTCAGGCTGGGATTAGTGAGATCTTGAAAGAGGGGGAGGGGGACACAGCAGGGCCTGGTGCCTGTAAGGATGCTATAAGGTGACATTCTGCAGGCAGAAGTGGAACTGCCAGATAAAGGGCCCACTTGTGTCTGTATTACTGTGTGCCAATGTGTCACCTGTGTGTTTCATGTGTCTGTTGACATGTATCTTTTTTATATATGCATATCTGTTGTGTGTGTCCATCATATATCAGTGAACATGTGTATGTCAACTCACCTATCTTTCAGTCTTGTGTGTGGTCTATCTCTATGTGTGTTTGTCTCATGTGAGTGTCAGCACATATGTGTCTGTTCATGTGTGTGTGTGTTTTTGTTGTTAATCCCCACCTGAGGACATTTTTCCATTGACTTTTAGAGGGAGTGGAAGGGAAGGAGAGAGAGAGACATATCAATTGGTTGCCTCCTGCATGACCCTGACTGGGGCAGGGGATCAAACCTGCAACCCAGATTCATGCCCTTGACCAGAATTGAACCCGAGACCCTTTGGTACCCCTGGGCCAACATTCTAACTGCTGAGCCAAACCAGCAAGGGCATGTGTGCTTTTTAAATAATTTTTCTTTATTGATTTTAGAGAAAGAGGAAGGAAGAGGGAGATGGAAACATCAAAGTGAGGGTGATACATCGATTGGCTGCTTCCTGCATGCCCCCCACTGGGAATTAAGCCCACAACTGGGGCATGTGCCCTGACTGGGAATTGAACCAGCTACCTCTTGGTTCATGGGCTGACACCCAACCACTGAACCACACCACCCAAGCCATGTGTGTCTTTTTAAAAAAATTTTTTTAGCCTGGCCTGTGTGGCTCAGTGGATTGAGTGTCATCCCATGGACTAAGAGGTCCTGGTTCAATTCCTGGTCAGGGCACATGCCCAGGTTACAGGTTCGATCCCCAGTGGGGGACGTGCAGGAGGCAGCCAACTGATGTATCTCTCTCACATCAATGTTTCTATCTTACTCTCTCTAAAAAAAATCAATAAAAAAACATTTAAACCATATTTTTAAATGTTTTTTTATTGATTTTAGAGAGAAGGGAAGGTAGAGGAGGAGAAAGAAACATGGCATGTACCCTGACCAGGAATCAAACCAGCAACCTCTCTTGGTGCATGGGTGGACACTCAACCAAATGAGCCACATTGGCCAGGGATATCCATGTGTCTTGTGTACATGTTGATGCCTGTATCTGTCTTGTATGTGTGTCTGTCTTTCGGTGTGTGTTGTCTGTCTCTGTGTGTGGTGGCTGTTTCTCTGTGTGGGATGTTGTGAAGCATGTGGCTAATCCCCTATACAGAGGCTGATGCCTTTATATACATGACTGTATGTGTGTCCCTCAGAACTCCAATGAGAAAACACCTGCCCCACATTCTGGGGCTGGGGCAGTGGCAGGTGAGGGCATGCAAAGTGGGATTCCCGAGTCATAGCACTCCTGAGTAGTTCTGCTCTTTATTGTCCCTGCCATTAACATACAGCATGAGTGTCACTACTGAGAACATTTCCTGAGGGGGAGCTCAGCCAAGCCTGATTGGAGCAGGGGCTAAGGAGGAGCTCAGTGACCCCCTGAGACAGGGGCTCTGAGGCCTGAGGCCTGGGTCTTCCGCCTGGGATCCCTGAATGGGGAGAGGGCAGAGAGGAGGCAGGCTGTAGCCCTCAAGACCCAAGATATTTCCCAATTCCTCTTAGGAGGGCTTTTCCCCATTCTCCCCCTAGAGAAACTGAGGCAAGACAGGCTTGGCTGGGTGAGGAAGGGCTTACCCTTCCTGGGTTGGGCCTAGGTGAGGGCCCAGGGACATCCCACATCTGCCACATAACCTCTTGGGCTGCACATTTTTCCTGGGCACCAGCCAGCAGCTGGAGCACCGGGTGCCATATTTCTTGTACCTGGGATGGGGGTACAAAGAACCAACATTCAGGATATACCAGGGACACAGAAACCACCACAAGGAAGCCACTTCCCCAAAGGTGGGTATTTTACCTTCCCAATACCCCATGCTAGCTAAGCACAGGCTGATTTGGGGACCCCACCCCAACTCCCTCCTCCAGTCTGCAGACCTGATACCACAGGCATTGCAGAGAGGTGTCCCATCTTCAGCATCTCTCCAGAGTGGGGTTCTCTGGGTCCTACAGGAAGCACAGCGCCGGGGCCCTGAAAAGGCAGAGGCCAAAGGGCAGGAGTAAGGCCAAGAATCCAGGCTTAGGAGGCCTGTGTGGGGTGAGGAAATTTGGGAGGATCTCTGTGAAGGCCCCACCTGGCTCTGGGCCAGCCCCAAAATGTTGCCGGATCTAAGACAAAGGGAAAGTCAGGAAGGCAGACAGATGGTGAAGCTCCACAGAGGAGGAAACTAGGGGTGGGGGTGACTCAGCAGAGTGAAGGGGGACAATGAGATTCATCTTGGATGGGTCTAAATGGGGAAGCAGAATGGTGAGAAAGACAGGGATAGAAGTTTTCTCTCCCCCACCCTCCAATATTTATAGCTCTCATGTTTCCAGGACTCACCCAGGGCCTCACTGCCTCCTGGGTTGGCCTCAAGGTCCCCAGCTGGGCCTGTAGAGCAGCTGCTGGAGGCCAGGCTAGAGAGCAGACAAGGCATTAGTATTGGGTGATCTGTGTCCTGTCCCAGAAAGCCTCCCCAAATAAAAGTTTATTATCAAGATATCAGGCATCCCTCAGGAGACATCTGATCTCTGAAAGGCCTGGCTTTGTCTCTCAGTAATAATAATAATAATAATAATAATAATTTGAAGAAGTAGTTAGCCTGGGGTCAGCCTGCCAGGTTGAAATCCCATTTCTCTCTGTCCTTGCTGTATGACCCTGGACAAGTGATGTTCCCCTCTGTGCTTCAGTTCCTGAATCTGTAAAATGGGCTTTATAAGGCTTCAATGAACCTGTATACATCAAATACTACATGTTACCTTTTACTGTTGTTCCTGACAAATTGTCATTGTTGGAAAAAATAACAGAAGCAGCAGCCTTCCTCATGGTCAGGTCTGTCTCATAAAGAGAAGACCCAGGCACTGGCTGATTTTGCTCAGTGGTTAGAGAGTCGGCCCACAGACCAGAGAGTCCCGGGTTCGGTTCCCGCTAGGGACACGTACCTCAGTTGCAGTTTGTCCCTGGCCCCGGTTGGGGTCGTGTGGGTGGCAACCACTTGATGTGTCTCTCTCACATCAATGTTTCTTTCTCTCTTCCTCCCTCTTTCCCTCCTGTTCCATCTGAAGATAAATGCAAAAGTGTCCTCAGGTGAGGATTAAAAAAAAAGAGAAGACCCAGGCTCAGACTGGGACATGCCTGGCTATGGCATCAGGACAGTGACTGGCACCAGTATTGCTCAGAGACTTGGCCATGTGAATTGCAGGGCTGGTGTAGGAGTCTGTGAGCCCAGGCCTGAAAGCGCCTCACCACAGGCCTCTGTCCCTCCCATTATCGTTAACTGCATAAAGGGTGCCCTCACTGGGGCTGTTCCTACCTGTAGCTGGGTATGATCTGTAGGCTGGAATCCGGCTTTATCTGAAACTTCAGGGTCACTCCCTCGAACCGGGGGTCCACTTTCTCGGCACCCTTGTGTGGGTTTGACTGCTTCCGGGGTCTCCTCTGGGGTGGGGCTGAAGGGGCTGGGGGGATCCTGGGAGGCCCCAGGCTGCCTTCTTGCTGGCTAACTGGGGTCAGCATAGCCCTGGTATCCCTGGCCAGAGGTGGGGGTCCCAGCACCCCCAGGGCCTTCAGCTCCCAGCAGGGCCCCAGGACCTGGGTATCCTGGGCAGGGGGCTGGGCCAGCACCTCTGCTGTCTCTTGGAGGAAGCGAAGGCTGGCGACTGAGTCCTGATGTGCAGGCCAGAAGGACCTGGGGACAAGGGTCAGTGTGGTCACCCCCTTCCCTGGGCAGCACCTACATAGGCCTCGGAGACATGGGGCAAGGGCAACTGCACAGCCTCTGACCACATATGACCCCACGTATCCCTGGGGACCAGAACCTCTTCTTTGTAAGTACAAGTAACTAACATTGTGACCCCTGAATAACCCCAGGAACCAGAGGTCGTGACCCCTTGGTCACTGGGCCAGTTTGGGGGAAGGGGCGGCTCCTTAACGCACCTGCCACTGGGTCTGAGGCATCTTGGGGTCCTTGGCGCCTGCTGGGCCGGGGGTCCGGGGAGTGGCTCCGGGTCTTGACAGGGTGGCGCCAGCAATTCTCGCAACATCATCATCGAGAGGTCCGGCGCTGGCTCAGCCTCCATCATGCCCCAGCCTAGCTGGGTCCCCTAGTCTTGCCCCGCCCCCGCGAGCCCACGGATGAGCGCCACCTGGGTGAAGCGGAGTGTGCTAAGAGGTGCAGGCGCTTCAGGCAGAGGGGGCAAGGCAATGAGCCCCACCTGGGTGGGGCGGGGCGATGCCAGAGGTCTGCTTCCTAGCCCCCACCTTCAGGTCAGCCCTGGCCCCTTTCCCTTCCTACTCTGTGACTCCGACTCCGATGGGTGGTCTGCACACCCTTCCTGGCCAAGGGAGGCCTGGACTCCTTCAAATCCCTCCGCGGCTACAGGGGCGGGGCCTTCCCATGCTGACGCACGTAGGCCCTCAAGCTCCCAGGACCCCTCCTCTAGGCCCCTGCCTCAGTTTCCCCGCTGGCCCCATCACTGCTGTGGGAGGCGAGGGGTGAGGGCCTGGAAGATACCATTGTAGACCCGGGGGCGGGGGCGGGGCTGCCCCCGACCTCCCGGCTAAGGACACTCAAGATGCTGGAGTTCTGCAAGATGGTTTTATTGTCACTCTCGATTCCAACCCTATCCACACCCAGATTCTCAGGGGCTTGGAGAGGCCACCCCAACAGAGGCCGTCTCCACCAGAGCCTGGGCATGGGATCTCTCTGAAGCATTTGGCCTTCTTGGTGCTTCTGAAATCTCTCTTGGGCCTGTCCATGCTCTGGGCTGGGCTGGCAACTTAGCTATTCCTCCAGTCCTGGTCGTGGGGCCATGGTGTCTGGGATGGTCCAGCTGCCCATATCAGTGTGGCTTGGGGACATGACCATCAACGTAGAAGTTCCTGGTGATCTTGGGCAGGGTGAATTCAGCTCCTTCCAGCTCAGGTGTCAGCATGATCTGGCAGCCTAGCCGGGAGTTCTCCTGGAGGAGGGGGGCCATGTCCAGCATGTCATCCTCCCTGGGCAAGGGGGCAGGGGTTAGCAGTGGGCACATGGGTTCATCTGGTAAGGGCTCAGGTCAGAGAGAGGGCACCTCTCAGGCCAGGGAGGGATAGGCTGACCACATCTAGGGAAAGTGGTTAGGGGGCAGTGCCCTTGCCAGCAAATGGAGGGGGAGAAAAGCTGGGGCTGTCCTCTGCTGCTGCCCAGTGGACCTCTGGACACGGAACAAAAAGGCTCAACAGCCAACCCTGCAGCTCCAAGCTAGCAGGCGGCTGCCCTGCTCACCTCTCATCAGGAGAAGGCAGAAGGTCCAGGTGGTCCTCGCTCACATACACATGGCAGGTAGAGCATGCCAGGGAAGCTTCACAGGCCCCTGGGGGGCAGCAAGTGAAGGAAGTGTAGGTAAGTGGTATGACCAGGCTGGTGCCATACATAAGGGAAAAGCCCTTTATTTCACCACGTGCCCCTAATCTTTCCTTCCCAGGCCTGCATGCCCACTGTGTGCACCCTCCATCCTGTCATCTACCCAGCTAGCTGTTCCCAAGCTGTGGATAGGTTTTGTAAGGAATGTCCAGGGTGTTCCATTTCCCAAGGACTCCCCAGCAAGCTGAGGACCAAGCTGGGTACAAGGAACCATTAATGAACATGGACTTGACTTCAGTGTAGCTGAGAGTGGAAAGGGCAAGCAGGTTCCCTGAGGCCTTTGAATCCCCTTGCTGTGATCCTGTCACTGTGCTGGGCAAATGTGTTCCTGCCTCCCTCTGCTTCTGAAGGAGGGGCTGGCTCACTCAGCACCTAGTGCATTAGGGAAAGGAGTAAGGGAATAAAGGTTGAAAGATGGAAAGGCTGGGGTTTTCTGATTGCCCCTAGACATACTCCTAACCTTCTGATTGATGACTGAGAACTGTGCTGGGGGATAATGTCCCTCCTGGACTAAAACCTTCCAAAGGGTTTTCACAGCCAGAATAAAATCCAAACTCCTCCACTCAGTCCTGGTTATCCTCCCATCCCTTCACTCACTGCACATCGACCACACCAGCCCCCTTGCTCAACTCCATCACAGGACCTTTGCACTTGCTATATCCTTGGCCTGGAATGCTCTTCTCACCACTCTTTCCATGACCAAATCTTGTATTCAGGAACTTAACTCAACTGTCCTCCAAGTCCTTTATCTCCTGTTTCTTGTCCTTCCCCCTTGTTAACTTCTTAATTTTTGTACAGCATTACACCCTGTCAGCCTGTCCTCCTCCCTCTGTACTTGGCACTGATCCTAGCATGTTGTAGATGCTCAAGAGACATCTGTTCTGCCCGGCTGGTGTGGCTCAGTGGTTGAGTGTCGACCCATGCACTAAGAGGTCGCCAGATTGATTCCTGGTCAGGGCATATGCCAGGGTTGTGGGCCAAATCCCCAATGGGGGGCATGCAGGAGGCGACCAATCAATGTTCTCTCTCATCGATGTTTCTACCTCTCTCTCCCTCTCCCTTCCTCTCTCTCTAAAATCAATCAAGAAAAAATATTTTAAAAAAGAGAAAGAGAGAGAGAGAGAGAGAGAGAGAGAGAGAGAGACATCTGTTCTAAGTGAATGATAAACGAAATTCTACTTTCTCTTCCAAACATGTCAGACAATGAGGGTGGAGATGCAAGGCAGCCTTCTGGTTCCAGAACCTCCCTGTCTCCTGGGGAGAACTTGGCCTTGAAAGTCCAAGTAGTCCCTGGCATCTCTTTCTTAAAAAAAAAAAATATTTTTTTTTTCTTATTGATTTTAGAGGAAGGGAGAGGGAGAGACAGAAAGAAACATCAATGAGAGAGAACATCGACTGGCTGCCTCCTGCATGCCCCACACTGGGGATCTGGCCCACAACCCGGGCATGTGCCCTGACTGGGAAACAAACCGGTGACCTCTTGGTGCATGGGTCGACGCTCAACCACTGAGCCACACTGGCTGGGCTCTGGCATCTCTTTCTTAACCGTTTCCCACCTTGTTAGCATCCTCGTCCCTTGAGAACAAGACTATCTAATATAAATGTCTGAACTACTCACTGCACACTAACCATGTGCCAGGCACTAAGCATTACACAACACCTGTTTAATCTTCCATAGCAACCTTGCAAAGCAGAACCAAATTATCCTATTTTATAGATGAGAAAACAAAGGCCCAAAGATGCTAAGTACCTTGCTCAGTGTCACACAGCTGATAAGAGGCAAACTGTGAACACAGGCCACTTGCCTCTAAAACTTATGTTCCAATCTGTGTCCTGGACTGCCAGTGTCTGGATTCCAGAAAACTTGAGGTAGGCCTGCCATGACCCCCTCCCCCCAACATCACCTCTCTAATGGTAAAATCAGCCTCCCTATTATATTCATCCAACAAATAATCTCGTACATTTTTTTCAGACCACCCTTTCCAGTTGCTAATGATGTAATTTCCTATTTACTCCCTATTAGGTTGAAATTAGTGTGAAATGTCAGGAGCCTTATCTATTTTGTACATTGTTGACTGGTACACAGTAGTGTTCAATATTCACAAGAGCAGCACAGGTTTAGTGGCTAAAATTGGCTGGGTTTGAATCTAATTTTGCCACTTCACCTTACACTAGGTCTATGTAACCTGGGACTCAATTTCCTTACCTATAAAATGAGATAATATCCCCTACTGCATAAAGTTGCCACGAAGAGTCAATCAGTTAATATGGTTAACACGATTGAAGTAATGTCTGTTATTATTTTTCCTTCTACAAATACTGATTTAATACCTGTTGTATCTAAATATTGTGATGGGCAACAGATATGTGTGAACAAGGCAAACAGGGTTTCTGATCTCATTCCGGGTAGAGATGACAAAGGAAACAAAACAGTGAGAAGTTCTATGACAATAAAACACAGTCATATGATAGACTGAGACATGTGCACTTTAGCTCTGCTGAGGGGGATGAGATTGTGGGGAGGATGATTATTTACACTGAGACTTGAAGGATGAGAAGAAACCAGAAGATTTGGTAGAAAATCACTTCAGACCCTGGGAGTAGCAAATGCAAAGTTCCTGAGGCAGGAATGATTTTGGCAGTTTGAGGAATAGCAAGAAAGCCCTTGTGGCTAGAAGAGAGAAAGGAAGGAGGAAGACAATACAAGTCTCAGAGGGCTGGGGTTTTAGTAACCTCTAGTAAATGCCCAAAAAACAATTGCTGGGCAAATGAACATTAAGAGTTAGGAAGGGGGAAAAAGAAAGAGTTAGGCAGGGGATAAGGCAGGGGTGAGGAGTCTGGATGTTAGTCCAGGATTGGTGGGAAAATCAGTGTTAAGACATCTGATTTGTGTGTTTTTTAAATGAATGATAAGGGCCTCCGAAATTCCATGTGCCTGGCTCCCACCTTCCAGGTCCACCCCATGGCGCTGGGCCAGGTGGAGAACATTGTCCCCGACTCTGCCTCTCACCGGAATCCGCTGGCCTGACCGGTCTACGAACACCACGTTCACCCTGGGGACAGATGGGGATGCGGATGCCGTACTGAATGATGGCCCAGGTTCAGGTGGAAGCTAGGGTTAGTAAGTTGGGCTTGGGCTAGTCGTACAGGGAAATAGGACAAAGCAGAGGGGTACGCAAGGATGAGGCTACAGGGTAAGGTGGGGACTTGCTTCCCCCGCCCCCACTCACACGTCCCCGGGCCGCTCTGGGCCGCTCTGTTCTTCCTCCCCGGCCGAGCGCGAGCCTGGAAAACACAGTTGGGTGAGCCACGCGCAGCGCCCAACGGGTTAATGCTTCCCTCCCCGAGGCGCCCCAGGTACCTGTCACCCGGAATTTTCTGGTTATCGCTGCTGCCTCCCCGGATCCCCTAAAACACCCAGATCGGCTCCACCAGGGACCCTTGGCAATCCGTAGCAAGTACCCGGCATTCACGCCGCCCCAAGCCACGGAGGCGGCCATGACAGGCATCACGTGACCCGGAACTAGGGCATGCGCTGTGGCGCACAAGCAAGAGACCCATAATTAGCCCAATATAAGCGCCGAGGTCCGTATGGGGCAAGAACTGTGGGGATCGGGGTGGGGGGCAGCAGCAGGTTCTGACACGAGAAGACCGCGGAGGCCTTCCCAGACCTCCCACCTAGCCCACTGTCTCAAAAACCAGCCAGCTCTGCTTTCTTTAAAACCATTTACTTACAAACTTTAATTCAGCAAAGGTCTGTGTGAGAGGATTGGGGAACCCCCTGGAGTGGATGTAGACCCCCAGAGTGAGGAGAGGGAAGCTGGTGGCCTAGCTGGCCAGGGGCAGGGACCAGGGTCACTTCAGGCCAACAGGTCCTACTGGTAGGCAGGGGCAGAGTTTATCTGCATGGAGTTGATTCCAGCAAAGGGCCAAGGGGAGGCCAGTTCCAGGGGACCTGGTCTGGGGATGGGGGCAGAGCTCATCTTCAACATGAGGGGAGTCAGAAGGGCTTCAGTGAGATGCACAGTGCCTGACTCCCATAGACAGAGAGCAGGGGGACTGGTTTCAGCTGGCAGAGAAAGCCTATCTCTGCACCTAGGCCTGGGCAGAGGGATGGTGGAGTTGGTTTGCCAAGTCCAAGGCTTTGGCCTTCTACTGTCCCCAGGGTGGGGACCCTGGGTGGAGGGACCCAATCCCCAGGCCAGAGCAGTTTGGTCCTGAGTCAAGCTTCCAGAGCTTGGCATCTGAGAGGCTCTGGCCAGCAGGACCTGGGGCCCAGCTTTAAGGCATCAGAAGGCGAGGGGACTGTGGCAAGGAGCAGGGCACCCAGAGCTGGAGTACAGGCCAGACTGGGCAGGCAGGGGCAGGAGACAGCCATGCCTACAACAGACATGGGAGAATGAGAAAAGGACTGAGCCATTTCAAACCGAAAAGTGTGGAATGGAGGCTCAGACATGTTGAATCTTGCAGGTGTAAGATGCTGAGGGTCATCCTGGATTGTTTAAAAAATAATAAAAATTAGAAAAGGAAACAAAAGTCAGTTGTCAAAGTTAAGAAAAGGGGGATAGTCTCTGATCCTCATGGAAGGTCAGGGAAACCTCCAAGGCACTCGAAAGGCCAAGATACAGGAGCGACGTGGCAGGAGAGGACTCCCAGAGAGGCAGATGCAGGAGTACACAGAGAGGGCAGAAAGGGGCCCAGCCTGCTCTCTCTCTTAAGGCTGCAGGGTTTCTATGCCAGGAGCAGACCAAAGATGCAGAGTGGCCCCAGACTCTCCCACACTCCTTGGGCTCCAGCTGGTTGGTCAGCAAAGTCTTTCAGAGAGTTTTCTATTACTGAAAGGAAAAAAAAAAAAAAAAAAAACCCACAAAACACCAGAAAACCCAAAAGCGATTTGGTACAGGTCCTGGAGCATCTCTGGCACTAGCCCCTTAGAAAATCCTCTTGCGCTTCAGGTACGAATCTGCGTAATGGCCACCAAGGCCTTGGGAGTGCTGTCCCACGTAGCTGCCTTCTGGGCTGGGCTCTGGCGAGGGCAGCAGGTGGGCAAAGCTGCGTTTCTGGCCACCCAGTGGTGTCTGGAGACAGAGGGGATGGGGTAGCAGGTCAGGGGCCACCTCGGTGGGGTCATCATTCCCCAGCCCTGTGTGTCCCCCACCCTTTGCCCATACCTTCAGCAGGCTGTGGCCATTGGGCCCAGGGCCGAGGCCCAGGAGCCCTTCTCCGGAGCCCAGTGGGGAGGAACCGACCGCCTGGCAGAAATGGGAAATGGGATGGGAGAGGAAATATCCCCCAAGCAAAGGTCAGGGCTTCAGGTTCAAATCCTGCCTCTGCTGCTTACCAGCCATGATTGGGGGCAAATCAGTTCTCTCTGAGCTTCAGTTTTTTCATCTGTCAGCTGGGGCTAATACCACCCTCCCTCTGTGCTGCTGGGAAAGTGAGTGGAAGCCCAGAAGGCTGGGCAGCACCAGGTGCTAGACACACAGATGTAGGAAGGACAGTCTGTTTTAGCTCAGCCCTGAGCAAAACTGAACACTGCAGCCACCCTAATCTTGACCTAGGCACTGAGGGTCAATAGGGGTCTCTTGCATCCCGGGTATCCCTGGGAACCTGTGCTCGGCTAGGGGAGGCTCCTCACCTTGTTAAGGTGGCTCTGCTTGAGGCCAGCCTGCAGGCCGCTGGTGAAGTAGGAAGTGGGCGAGCCAGAATAAAAGTGAGAGAGGGATCCCCCACTGCCCCCACCACTCCGTTCGCTGAAGCCACTGGGTGGGGGGGACATCTGCAGAGAGGGGGCTGGCTGAGTGAGGCAGACTATTACAGTATCCAACCCCTTTTGTAAATCACCCCTAAATGACTCTGGGCTTTGCCACACGACTAGCTTTGACCAGTAAGACAGTACCACAAAAATACAAGCAGACGTGCCCCTCCTACCCCCCGGAACCACGTGTATGCACACAGGCTTGGAGGATAAGCTCCACATGGAGCAGATACACCATCCTAGCTGAGGTCCCCAGCTAAGGCCCATGTACCAGCCTACTGACTGCTGACTGCCAGGGATAACTAAGGCCTCTATGAACTGCTGAGCCCCAGCTGAACTGCAAAATGAGTGCAGAGAACCACCAACCCACCATCCATCAAAATGGTATGAAATAATAAAATGTTTGCTGTTCTGAGCCACAAAGTGATAGGACCATTTGTTACACAGCAAAAGCTAACTGGTACATTTGCAAAGTGGGATTCACATGGCAGCTCTTACTTTGTGTCGGCTGGATCCATGAGGCCCGAGGGCTGGCTCCCGTGGGTGGGAGAAGAGCCGCCTAGGTCCCATGTCCTGGATGAAAGTGGGAGAAAGTGTGTTGGGTTGGGGTCTGCACCAACCTCACTCCTAGCTAAATTCTCTGGCACAGATGTCATTAGGAAAGTGTGCCCCTTCCAGTAGGGGGCAAAGTTCTAGTGCATGGGGCAATGAGATAAAATGTGCTATGTCCCAGAGGGTGGGTGGCTCCAACTCAGACTCAGAGATGACTGCTATGAAGTCATGTGGCCCCAATGGGGCCAGGTGTTTAGTGTTCAAGGCAAACTGAGCATCTGGATTGTGTAAACGCTTATACTGTTTATATGTTGGTATCGGCGTTTATTTCAGTTGTTCTCCCCCACACACACACTTTCTTTACTGCTTTAGAGAGAGCTAGAACATCGACTGGCCACCTCCTGCATGTCACCCACTGAGGACTGGGCCCACAACCTGGGCATATGCCCTGACTGAGAACTGAACCGGTGACCTCTTGGTGATTGTGTCGACGTTCAACCACTGAGCCACACCACCGGGCTGTTATTTTCTTTTTGGTATGTGTCCCTAGCAGAAACCGAACCTGGGACTCTCTGGTCCGCAGGCCGACGCTCCAACCCCTGAGCCAAACCGGCCAGGGCAGTGTTATTTTATATTCTTATAATATAGTATGGACCAAACATAACACAGGTGGCCTGGAAGTGGCCACTCTGCAACATCTGACTTAGAAGACAGTGAAGTCATAGAAGGAACAGTTCCCCAGGGACAGAGACAGGAGTCTCAGAGAGAGAAGAGAGAAGGGCAGAGAGATAGACAGGAGGCTAAGCCCTGTCTCTAAGAAGCAGAAGTGCAGCCTAAGGCCTCTTGGGAGAGAAAGACAGGAAGCAAGGTCTGATATGCAGAGACAAACAGACAAGAGACTGAAGGGCAGGGACTGTGTCAAGCATGTCTCCCACTGTCTACCTTGTGCTTGGCCTGGCACAGTCAGTACTAGAGAAATATTGGTTTAGAAAATGACTTGCTCCCAGGGAACAAAGGCCCACAGTAGCCAGCCCTTGGGGGGCTGATCACAGGGCAGGCAAGATACTCACCGAGGGGTAGTCGAAGCCATAGCTGTCAGGAAGCCCTGGTTCGGGGGGCAGGCGGGTGCTGGTGAGGGGGCTGAGCAGGCGGGACTTGAGCTGGAAGGCTTTGCTGCTGCCACCGCCTCCACCACCAGCACCTCTGGGGACTGGGGGGTTAGGCAAGGGGCCCTCAGCTGGGCGGCAGCTTCTTCCAGCGCCTCCCCAGCTCCGGGCCTCCTTACCCGCCAGGTTGCTGGCCGGGAGCAGGCTGTGTAGGTTCAGGTAGGGGTTCAAAGGGATCCGGAAGTCCTTGGGGGGCTCCCCCAGCAGTGAGACCTGTGGCAAGAGGGCTGGATTCGCGAGGGTCCCTGACGGGAAACATCAGAGGGCAGGAGACTAGAATAGTGCTAGGCACAGGGCAAGACCTTACCCCGGGGGGTGTTGGCAGAGGTCCACTGTCTTTCTGTAGGCCTCTGAGGCCAGTGCCTAGGAGCCCCACAGGGGCAGGGGGTGGAGTGAGCTGGGTCGCTGGGGGACCCAAGCCCATGGTTTCCCGGTCACCACCAGAGGGGCCAAGCAGTGGTGGCAGCAGGGGTGGTGGCTTCCCTCGCCGGGGTGGCAGCTCTGGGGGCAGGCCCCCTCCTACAGAGAAAAGAAGAATGTCAGTGGCCCAGAAATACAGGACCCTTCCTTCCCAGGGTCGTAGCACATCTACTTGGACCAGGGTGAGTAGCTGAGGAACAACTGTGTGCAAGTCCTCCAAGTACATCAGCTCCCAGTGCCCAGCTGACACACCCTGAGACCCAGAAAGATTAGGTTATTTGTCCAAGGCTATACAACTGGAAATTTACCACCCAATGAGGACAGGGGAAGCAGGAGGGGCCCAGAGAGATGATGAGGGGGAAGGGTCTGTTACCTGCAGACATCTCCCCAAGTAGGGTATTGGCTGGCTGGGCCCCAGGCTGGAGGGTGCCCAGGGGAGAATCTCCCAGGATCCCAGGCTTCTGGGGACAGAGCACAGTCAGCTGAGGATGGGGGCAGTATGAACTGAGCAACAGAGAGGTATTGCCCAGGGTCTTGGCAGTCACAATGCCCAACACACCCAGACTCCAGCCCACGGACGTTCACGTCCCTCAGTGTCTTTGACACCCTGGCCATCACCCATCTGGCCAGCCAGCAGTAATCAAGGGCCTCCTGCATGCCAGAGCCCACCTAAGACCGTAGGGAGATCCAGGGACCATACACTCAGCAGTCAGAGCCTATCACCCTGTTAGTCAATATGAGATATACATATGTCTGATAAAAATCCTTATGCACCCACCA